CGGAGGGAGAGGGGGATGTGGAGAGTTTGGATAAGGGGCATAAAGAATAAGTATGATTTGTAATAATGTATATGCTAATAATATTGATTTGATCAACATACATCAACGTTGAACACCCAAAATATGTATAATGAATTATGATTCAATATATAAATAAAAGTTATACCACAGTGGTTCCCAGTGTCTATGGCAACTAACTGTGTAAGTTGGTAATTATCTCTCCTAACTAATTTCAAAGGTATATGGACCTTCTATCATCCACTGATATATAACTGCATATATAGAAGCCTAAACCTGCCAACAACATTGTTTGAATTAAAACTCTCTAAAAAAATCATAAAGGTTCCTAAAATTTTACCTAGGACACATTGGCTTTTAATATTAATTTCGATATCAATTCAGTTTTACATATGTTATTCACTAGTGGTACAAATGTTTATACTTTCCTGTCTGTCTTTATCTTCTAACAATCTTGACCAATATAAATTATATTCCCCCAAGTTTTGCATCTTTTAAGACATTACACAGCAAACCCCACATACATTTTATGACTGAAATTAAACATTACTATTTATCACTATAAATAATAAGCAATTCACCACAACATAGCAATGCAAACCAAACATTTTATGACTGAAATTGTGACATACATTTTATGACTGAAATTAAACATTACTATTTATCACTATAAATAATAAGCAATTCACCACAACATAGCAATGCAAACCAAACTTATTAAAAACACTAAATGTGGTTATTCTAAATTTCAGCTCCATTGCAAAATTTAATTTAATTTTGCACAATTGGGCATTCATGCTGTTTACTCATATATAAATCACCATATTTCCTCTCCAGTAATGTGGATACTAACTTTGTCACTTGTATTTTCTGAAAAGAGAAAAGTATTTTAAAATATTACTATCACACCATTATTTTTTTGTATTTTCCAAGGCGAGATTCTTCAAAATACAACATAGAAACTGTTAGAAGAAACTGCAGCCCAACAAAAATTGAAATTAACATAGAATACTTAGAGCCTTACCTCTTGAAAGCAGTGGCACATTATAATGCAAGGACAGATGGAAAGGGAAAAGGTAATCACTTAAACTATTTGATACAAAACATCTTCCCTGATGGTTAGAAATATAAAATCTTAGTAGAGTGAGGAGAGTAGCAAAGAAAACAGCAAGCCAAGACCAATAATTTGTATATGTAGAAGAAAGATTTAAATTTCTTAAAGTACCTTAATCACTATTATTTATAAAAGGGAATAGGAATACTTACACAGTATAAAGTAGTATTAAGGAACATTCTAAAAATATCACCATAATCTACAGATTTTAAATTATCCTATTTCATAAGACAAATAGGTAATTATTTCTTAGTAATGATGCTTAATAAGCTCCTGTTTTTGTCTTATGTTTATTAATTCTCTACAAATTTTGAGTGGGATGTCAATTAAATTGTCAAATTACTAGCCACTTTAAGTCACTTAAATACTAATAGTCCTCTCCTTGTGCATTGAGGAAAAAGATAACTTATGCATTTAACCTTACATCCTTCTAAACTGTTACATTTTTGGACACTGGGATGTATTATTTTTAAAATTAAAAGTAATTAATAAAAAGTAAACTCTCAACTTTAAAAGAGTTTTGTTGCAGATCTTTGCAACATAAAAATCTGGGAAATAGAAAAGTAAAAAGTTTGACCTTGATTTTAGAAAAAGTTTGATATCTAATGCAGAAAATACATTAATCAATATCACAAAACACCTACTCTTCAAAATGACACGTCACTGACTAGTAAAGTGTGTGATTTATTTTTGATTTCTCTAATTTCAATGTAGTGAGAGAAAAGGCACTGCAAATTTGTCTTGGAATTTTACAGATACCACCCTTTGTTTTCAGAGTAATCAAGTTTTCATTGTCCTGACATCTGGACTACAAACGAAATCAAGCTATTTTTAAATACACTCAGTTTGCAAATGCAAAGTAGTAACTTACTTGTTAATGAGGTAAAATAATCCCTTTCCTCCTGAATTATGCACAGTGCTGGACATCAGACATGTGCTTAATAATCACTTGTTGATTGATTAAGCAACCATAAAGGCTCTATAACTATACAATTTCCTACAGTTTCTTTTTTTTTTTCCTTTTTTTTTGTCTTTTTCGTGACCGGCAACGGATCACAACCCTCAGTGTCGTGCCCATACCAGACCGGGAATGGCCACGGGATTGCAACCCTCGGTGTTGCTCCCGCCCCTCGCTCAGCCAGTGAGCGGCCGGTCTGTATGTGGGATCTGAACCCTCAGCGGGAGCGCCACCGCACTTCCCAAGCGGCGCACTATAGCAGTGTGCCACCGGGCCGGCCCAATTTCCTACAGTTTCAATTTGAGAATACAGTCATGCATCCATTAACAGTGGGGACACATTCTGAGAAACGCGTGTTAGGTGACTTTTTCGCTGTGTGAAAGTGTGTTATGAAAGGAAAGAGCAATGAATTTTGCTATTACCCACAGTGGCCACTAGTTGCATGTGTGGCCCTTCTAACTAAGTCTCTCTGTGCCTCACTTTCCTCATGTATTAAATGGGGATTAGCAAAATACCACCCCCACAAAGCTATGAAAATTTAACTTCATGTAGAGATTGCTGGCACGCAGCCAGCACTCAGTAAGTACTGTTATTAAGTATGAGTTTGCTATAAGGATGGGTGGGAATCACTTAAAAATGCAAGAATTCTACAGTAGACACGAACCCTTTCACCTGGGGTCAGACCTAATGTGTCAAATGCTTGACTTTCTACTTTAAGGTCTGAGCTACCTTTGGAGTCACCCTATGCATAAGCTAGGCACTCCTACTTAACATATTTCACAGTAGGTTTGTTTATACCAGCATCACCACAAATACATGAGTAATGCATTGTGCTATGACCTGGGACAGCTACGACATCACTAGGTGATAGTAATTTTTCAACTCCATTATAATCTTATGGACCAATAGTGTATATGCTGTCCATTGCTGACCAAAAGTTTGTTATGCAGTTCATGCCCATAATAAATTTTAAATCATTTCTAGTTTAATCACTAAAGTTGTGCTTATAAAACACAAAATTTAAGCTTGGTATTTTCAGATTGCAGTACTTTTCCATAACTTCTATTTGCTTTTACTTCTGCTATTTTCTATAAGAAGACTTTCTATAAAATTTAACAAGTGTGGGGCCGGCCTGGTGGTGCACTGCTACAGTGCGCCGCTTGGGAGCGCGGTGGCGCTCCCGCCGAGGGTTCGGATCCCACATACGGACCGGTTCCCGCTCACTGGCTGAGCAGGGTGTGGGAGCAACACCGAGGGTTGCAATCCCGTTGCCGGTCCCGGTCCGGTCCGGGCGCGACACTGAGGGTTGCGATCCGTTGCCGGACACGAAAAAAGACAAAAGGGAAAAAAAAAATTTAACAAGTGTTAGGAAAACAGACTTTAATTAAGACACTTCTTTCAGTGAACTTTTTTCCTACCAGATAAAAAGAAATTCAATAAACAGCAAACTTGTGTTTCAGTTTTCTGGGTGGCTAGCATCTGATAGGCAGCATCTTTCTTTTAAGGATATCTACTTTGATTACTCCAAAATCTATTGCCTTAAAATAGACACACACATACACAAACACACACAAAATTTATAGCCAAACACACCTCAACACTACATATGTTTCTCTTCCTCACATGAAAAAAAAATAACATTTTTTGAAGGAACTAGTTTTCCTCAATATATACACCAAAACTTTAAAAAGCCACCCGCAACCACCAAACTGCATGTACAGTCCAGTAGCTGTTCTCCCAGAGCTCCTGCTCTCTTTTTCTCAGCAGCAGCCTGGAAACCTGCCACCTTCTCTTTCAAAGCCCCAACGTAGCCATGGCAGCAGTGCGACAGAAAGCACAGCCTCTTCATTACATGAATTAACATTCGGAAGGGATTATCTCATAGAAAGGACTTATCCACACAACTATTTTAATTATATTTTCCTCACAACTGGCATTGACAAAAACCATCAGGCGTGTAGATTATTTCCCTTTGTTTTCCTTTTAAAGTACATTTTTGTCACAATAAATCAGATCAAAATGATTTCACATAACTGACTTTGCCTTACAGTTTTGTCACTGAATCCCACAAGGAATAAAATGATCATCTATAAATAAAGGTTGCTGAAAATAGATGTGCAACCTGATAAGTGGTTCAAATAAGTTAATAACTTCAAAAAATTTTTTAATGTACTCCCAAAAGGAAAAAATTATAAGGAATATATTTTCAAAAACTTTTGTTAACATTATATATTTAAATTCATTCAATTTAGAAAAATCTTTACAATGAAAATATTCTCTAATTTGCTTCTGATGCTTTCTAAGCATCTCTTCTTGTTGTTGTTGTTTCATTACTGTTTACTTTTAAAGACTAAATTCTAATCAAAGTTTACCTGGAAAGAATGTTGTTAGCTATCTGCTCTAAGCTAATGCTTCATATACAGACATGGGTTGAAAGTGGACTTGTTTTCTGTTTTCTTAAGACTACTTCCTAGCAAAAAAAGCTCCTTATTTCCTTTCTCCTTAAGGTAAGATACATAAGGTGATAGCAACTATAATCACTCTGTTTAAATTTTTGGTGGCCAATAAAGGATGGAAAAATTGATGAAGGAAGATTCAAGATTTGCCTTGCATTGTAAGTGCCAGCTACTCAATGTTATGCCAAGACTTGGAGAAAAAGAGTTACAGAGTTATGCTACATGGTTCATAACATGTCAAAATGCACAATTAGGTTTTGATTAACCTATAATTGCTTTGCAGAAAGTGCTGAATGTATATAATATATGGGCCACATGTTAATAAAGCAAATAAAACTTCATTTCCCTTCCTTCAAAGAACAGCTGATTTTAGGGGTTTGTAGATTACATGTTTCCTGGAAATTACCTGAAAGAAGAGTTTTTATAAGAGCTGAAAGCACCCTTAGCCACCTACCCATTTTGCTGTTTACTGTCACCCTGGGATCCTCTTCTCTGTCCCTCTGCTAGCTCCTGAGCAGTCTCGGAACACACGCTGGTGACTGTGGGCTGCCGTGGGACATTAACTGCAGTTTTACCAGTGCTCAGTGCAGATGAACACTGGTCAGCACTAAGATTGGCATTAACATGCAGTCCAGATGCAGCGAATGGGGGAGGAGTGACAGCAGCCATGGGTGGAGGGGAAGCATGTGATGAAGTGGTCGCATGGGCTGGGGTGAAGGCAGACGATGGTGATGGGATGGATGTGACTTTTGGTGAAGAAACAGAACCAAAGGGCCGTGGTGCCTTATTGTAGGCCATGTTGGTTGTGGAAGTGACTTTGGACACAGCAGGAGATGTAATGGGCACAGGTTTAACTACTTCCTTAGGTTCTCCCTATATAAAATAAAAATAAACATACACAAAAACACACCAAATACATGCAAAATATATTCACTGGGAAGAACACATAGCTGATTTTTAAAAAGACAAACAATCATGTTAGCAGCTCAAATGTCACATGTTCCCAGACAGAAACAATGAGTTGATATAGTGTAACATGCATGCTAACTGGTCCCAACATGCATAACACAGATGCACACACTAAGTTTTTTTTTTAATAGAAATGAAAGCAGTTTCAAAATATTCAGGAAATACAGCAAGAAAACTATCAGAAAGCCTAAAAGCCATCATAATTGTCAATTTAGACTTGTTCCAAAGGAAATTTTTAAAAATATCCACAATAAATAAAACATTGCTAACTGAAATGATTTTAAAAATATCCAGAGCCTCACTTGTAACTCCATCTTCCAAACATGTTTCTCTCTAGAGTGTAATTACTTGATTCATACAGAAGCAGCAGCACATTTCTAACTCTTCAATTAAAAAAAAAAACATGGGGAATAAGATAATTTTCATCTAACTCAGAAATGTTCACATTCTAATTAATTATTTTGAATCAAGAATACGAAAAAAAAAAACTTAAAAAAGCAAACAAATGAGCAAAACAAAATTGTAATTACTTGATTCATACAGAAGCAGCAGCACATTTCTAACTCTTCAATTAAAAAAAAAACATGGGGAATAAGATAATTTTCATCTAACTCAGAAATGTTCAAATTCTAATTAATTATTTTGAATCAAGAATACGAAAAAAAAAAACTTAAAAAAGCAAACAAATGAGCAAAACAAAATCAATCCTTTCTCTCTCTTCAGTAATCTACCTCTGTTTCTCTCTCTCAATGTTTTAAGGTATGATTCAGAGATAGAATAAAATTCTTTCCCTTTTCCAAAATAAATATTTAATAGTTACATGAGGGAAAAAATGATCTTAGATATTTCCTCATTGACAGCATCCAAAAAATAAATAAATAAGTAACTAGTAAGAAAGATCAATTCCTCCTAAGATTAGCGGGACTTGTGTTTGTAAATCCTTATTCCAAAGCATATTTAAGATCTTTTTAAAAAAATCAGATTAAGATTCTGTGATATTCAAGAATAAATTCATACTCACCCTATCATTCCAAAAGAAAAACCAAATTTTTTAAAAAACATAAAAATGATGGCTCTATGATTTTAAATTTTAAGAAAAAAAGGTAATCTAAATTAATCTTATAGAAATAAGAAAACTGAGAAAAATAAGTAGCTTAATGCCTAAGCAAATCAACATTATGAGTAATTCAATGAAAAGGCACAAATAAAATTAGGGAGAAAACCTCAAAAAGCATAAACCAATTATATGTGAATAGTGGTTTAGGATAATTTAAGGATATATATGAGAGAAAAGGGGTACTTGCCAATAACCTAATCCAAGAATACTATGAAATATAATTAAATACTTATTATTAATAAAATATAACCAAAGACTTATTGTAATATTCATTTTCAGTAACCACTTATTTATTCTTTATAGAAAATATGTGAATAAAGATAAGCAAATTAAAAGTGGATATAAATGTAAGAAATCTGTACATAATGTATGGCTTTGGAAATAATGTTTTATAACGTAGGTATAATTACAAATGGTAATTCTGTATGTGTTGATTTCCATTTTCCTCCTCATCTTTTAAGGAAAAGAACTATAAGGAAAATCGTTTTCAGACTATAAATTAAATGTCATTATGGCCTGAGACAGACATGGAAATTACAGTGGCGCAGGAGGGACAATCAAATGGTACCCTCGTGATGCCAGATTAGTAACATACCTTTTGAACAGGAATCGGCTCTGGTTTGAGTGTAGCAGATGCTCTGGGGAATAAAAGAAAGAAAAAAACATGAATTTTGCAAACTTGCAAACTTCTTATTATGGAATTTTTACTATTATATACCTTAGTATACTAATTTATAGTATCATAATTGATAATTTTGACTTTTCACAATCTTCTAGTTAGTTCATGAAAAGCAAATGCTGCCAGATCCAATATCCTTACACACTATTCATTAGTGTATAACTAATGAAACTGAGGAGAGACAAACATCAATCCTGTCTGCTAATGCACTCATGTTTAAACTTTAAATTAAGAATATTCCCCACCTAAAAGGGTAGAGGATAATAAACATGACTTTCTGATCCTTAAATTGTTCCTCAACCATCTACTCTGAATCTCCAGTAGTATCTGCCTTTTCTCCTCACATCCATGAACATGTCCACAGGATACTGGGTCTCTTTGTGAAGATACTGAATATCTCCTCGTTGAATTGAGCCAGTATTTATTTTGTATTTATATTCTTAAGTGTTTATGCAAGTTAATGTATTTGTTATGCTAAAACTAAACTATTAACTCTTCCACTAGGAGATAATTTCAGTAGAGGCAATGATCATGTCCCATTTATGTCTGTGTCTCAGCACAGCGCCTGGCATGAGAAAGCCTCTAAAACTTTAAAGGCCATTTAGTCAACGTTAACGTACACGTTATGTTTAATATGCCAGAAGCAATTTGACTACTCTCATAACACATCAGCCTGAATATGGAGTGCAAAATTCAAGAAATGTAAGCATAGTAGGCATAAATACTAAGTCATAACAATTTTAAGCTACAAACAATGAGATAGTTTTACTTATAACAACAACAGATCACAAATAGAAGATACTATCCTAGGATACTGGGTCTCTGTCAGCATAACTTAGTAATGAACTCTGATCAACATTTTTATCAGCAACTGGATTTTCCAGTAACAACTAATTTGTTTAGCTATGGCAGGCACTGACTGAACAATTGGCTAACCTAATGAGAGACCCACAATGGATGCTAACATTCGGTTTCTGCAATACAGATTACACACTGTGCAGTTGCATAACTTTCCATGTGTACTCTCAAATAGACAATTTCTCTTTTAGTTTATATGGTTATTATAGCAAGCAAAGGAAACAAGTTCAAGTACCGAACGGTGAAATCTTCCTTTCATTGAAGTTTTACAATAAGGGTAATCACAAAGGACCTACTTATTAAAAGCACCGAAGACATTATTGGATAGAGAGGATGATATCCTTTTTCAGTTGGACACTTCAAGGTGCACAGAGCACTTCTAGCAACATAAAAACATTTTGTAAAAAAAGAACATGATGTTTAAAAGTCACTAGGTTTCTAAACAAAATAAAAAATATATATAGCCAATGTCTATGAAAACAAACCCCTCAGTTTTTTCATAGGTGGTATCTCTTATTTAAAGAGTGTTAGCAAAAACAACAAAAGCCTCAGAATGATTAGTTATCATTAACTTTGGAATACAATCTCCTATTTAGTTGAAAAAGCATAAAATAAAGAGTTCTAACATATTATTTATTGAAAGTTCTATAAAAATACTGCTTGAAATTTTGATTTCCCCAAAAATATTTAAATCTGAAATTTCAATGTTTGTCTTACTTGCCTTCTGATAAAGTCTCACAAGTGCAATGACGTCTTCTAAGATAAGCAGTCAGAAGAAAGAGGCAATATATCCTCAAAATCACAGGGTTGAGTACATTACACATTAAAACCATACACATCTTTTTGTAGGGGGAAAATAGACTGGCTTACAATTAAGTGCCAAATAAATAGTTGACACTAGAGGCAATAAAACATATTTCTCTTGGTTTAAGTATTTTAAATAACCAGCAATGAGTCATAGAATCATTGAAACTTAGAAAGAAGGTTCGTTAGAGTTACTTCACTACAGGCCAATTGGAGGTCATCTGACTTCTGTTTGAATATTTACAGAAGCTCACAATTCAGCCACATAAAATTTGAACCCTTCTGTTAAAACGGTCTTCATTTTAGTTTGGTTTTGGTGATTTTTTTTTTTTTTCCTTTTTGGAGTAAACAGAAGTAGTCAAAATGTCCACATTAAAAACATTTGGAAAAACATTCTTAACACACAGTATATGTACATAAAATTTATAACATGTACTAGTTATATATTAAAAGATAAGTGTAATTACATATTCCTATGACACTAAAACTACTGTGTTTCAGGAAATTTAGAATACATGACAAATGAAGTCTACAAAATAGGTGAATAACAATGACACTAGTTTAAAAAAAGCAAATGTTGCTAATTATCAAATCAAATAAAAATATACACCACCTTTTCCTTAATATATAATGATTGTGGGAATACTTCTAGATGTTGTTGGAAGAAATATGTATCAGTACAGCTCTTTTGGAAAATACTTCGACATTTACTCATTAAAAGCCTTAAAGAAAGCTCATGCCCCCCACCCCGACATAATCAACTTCTCAATCTACAATAAGGAAATAATCTGAAATAGGAAAAAGACTTTATGTATAAAGATTCATTCACTACAGTGTAATTTATAATAGTGCAAAACTGGAAACAACCTACTAAATATACAACAATGAAGATATGGTTAATTGTAATATAACCATATGATGAAATATTATGCAACAAATAAAATCATTCGTAGAAAGAATTCTGCATTGCATAATAAAGTGCTTACTTTATGAGATTAAATAAAAAAAATATATATATATATATAAAATAGCATATACAGCATGATGGGTGCATGAAAAAAAGTGGGTGGGAACACATTTTTGGAAAGGTTCTCTCTAAACGATATTTTTTCTCTTTTGTGTATGTGTTTTCCATATTTTATAGAATGTAGACATACAACTTTTTAATAGTAAGAAAGATTATTTCTAAAAAAGCATGTGTCATGGGAAACTACTTTCCAAAAAACCAAAACAAAACAAGGTCCTGTTATCAAAAACATCTGGAAAACATGAAGATAAAGTTATATAGGATGTTAGCCACAGGACTTCTCAGAGCCTTTAAAGACCTAAAGAAGATAATAGTGTGGATCATCGCCCATATTCATTTGAAGGAGAACGTATTATTTAGAAAACATTTCTCAAGACTGGAATTAGGAGGGGGGAGAAAACTCTCCGGAAAATAAATATTTAAAGAAAGAGCAAAACTTTTTAAAGTCTGAAATGTTTACTTAAATCTCCTACAAGTGTCCAAAATTAAGGGAAAGAAATATTATAATACTTAAAATTCTCAAAACCATTTGTAATATGAATTCTCTTTCTTATCAAACTAGTGCTTTCTTAAATTTTGTGTTTAATAAGACGCCCAAAGACTACGAGCATAATTTAATCAATGTTTAAGGAGGAAAGTCCTGTTTCCTCTGCCAAACTGGAATATATCCAATTTCAATATTCCCTGGGGAAAAAATCTTAATATATGAATGAGGACATAAATAAAATAAAATTTCTCAAAATAAAATTGTTATGATTATCTTTCTTTTCTTCAGACAAATATTATATTGAATATCTGCTTCTTCATTTTAGCAATGTCACAGATTACATGAAAGCAAATAATTTTTAAAGGATGTTTAAATAAACTGTTTTAGAAACTGAGGTATACAATTTAAAAAAATTATTCCTACATTTTTCTCTTCAAATCTTGACAAATACACAATGGGAAAATATATCTCCCTTTGAACAACAGTGACCATCACAAGTCACTTTTGTGCAGTGTGTGAGTTTCAAACCAGCAGAGATCCTGTCAATGGCTTAGTATCATGGGCTCAACAATTTGCTTATTGTTCTCTCTTCCCTTAGTGTGAAGCCTCTGTACATGAGTAAACCACGATGGTGAGATACCACTTCCTTAGCTCATTACTATCCTCAGCTCATGGAATTCAAAGAACAAAGTCATTAGTTTGCTAGAACAATCTATTTGAAAGTTGATTGATTTTGTAATAGTACCCAAAATAAAAATCCCTGATGCATTACAACCAGTTTCAGAACTTCTAGCTGAACAGTTGAGAGGAGTTCTAAGTTATAACAGATTGTACCAGAAACTAGAATTGTGATGTCCTCGTTAGAATAATGCACAGGAAAAATAATGCCATAAATAAGCAATAGTTCAATCAAGAATTAGATTCAAGAGAATTAGGCAAAACTACATCTTATAAACACCCACTGAATGTTAATATTAACTAATTATATATATATTTATATAAATTATATATAATAATATTAACTAATTATTGCATTTTTCTAATACTGCTTTATAAAATAACATGTTTTTCAGTTAATAAAGTAGCCAATGAATGCACACAATAGTGTTTAAAAATGAGAAATCAGGCAACAGAACTAGACTCATAAAGACTATTCACATTACTCATTATGTCTTAGTGACTCATTCAACCATATCTAATATACTTAACTCATAAGCAATCATACAGAAAAGAGGAGGGCTTCTGGTTCATCTTCTATGAGATGAGCTCTATCTAAGTTTCCCACAGCATGGCCATCTTTGGGCCCACTGACCTTAGGACCCATAAACACTAGGGTACACCATTAATCACTTTAATTGCGAAGTTGTCAATTTGCAATAACAAAGCAACTCCAGGGGGAAAAAAAGCATGAGAGTACTTTTCAAGAGTGCAGAAAGCTGTCTCTTTAAACAGTTTTGCCATACTTTATTGTACTCAGTCTACTGTCACAAAAACTCAAACCTCAAACATTTAAATCACTTATAGCAACAGATCAGTGGTTTTTTCTAAGAAATTTGAGATTATGTAAAGATTATGTTATATTTTCTACAAACAAAAGTGCAAAATAGTTAGATATCTGCATATTAGAACAGCTTTACCTTAAAAGACTGTAATCACCACATATACATGCACTCATACTCATACTCTCACCTTCTCTTTCTCCCTCTTTGCATCTCTCTATTTTACTACAAGAAAACAATAGAGTATTGTACATTTTTTTTCTACAGAGAGAAGGAAATAATCC